GAAAGTTATGTTAATTAAAGTTAGTCATTGACATTTGGCTGTTTTCTTTCTTTCAGTTGACCACAAAGATTTACCTTAAAGACAAGGTCAGGAGGGCAGGAGCTTCTGGTTCACTTGAAGGTCAATCTGCCAACAGTATTTAACTCAGCATTATAATGCAACCTTCACCCGCTTTGATGGGGGAAAGAAAAGGAGAATTACCTTACACGCCAGCAGCAGCACCCTCCCCTTATTTCGGAAGTCCTTCCTGACCATGAGGACCATCCTGCCTTCAGACAGGAGAGTTCAGCTATGCCTTCAGAGTCAAATCACAGATGCAAATTTTTAAAAAGTCCATAATCCAAACTGCAAACACCCTGGCCTCTGTTGCTTTCAAACCAACTTCTTTTCTTTTAAAGGTTAGAAGAATTTATTTTAGAAAACAATCTTCCCCTCTTTCTCTTTAGGAAAAAGAAAACCAGGGATTTGTGAAAACTTCAGTGAGTGATTAATCCAGCAAATGAATCTGTCTATAAATGAAATCTAGGGGAGTATTTGGGTATCAGAGGCCTAAATCAGGAGGCTAGGTTAATGTTAAGACTTCCAGACAGGCAGCTCTCCAACAGGTTAAATGATCTGGATTAGAAGCTTAGGAAATGTACAGGGAAAGCTTCACTTTCTGAATGTCTGCTTTTTTATCATGGTTAAAAGCATGAAGCTTTCATGAGGAAAGGAAGGCAACTCTAGCAGGACAGATAAGAACATTTCATTATATGCTAAAGGAAAGTCTGTGTGCATCATTTTCTGGCTGCAGAGTTTAATCAGCTATGGTATCACAGCTCTGAAATGTGGAATTTACAAGGGGCAACTGATAAACAGCTTTGCCAAGGAGTAAGTGTGCTACAACTGCATAACAGAAACTTGTCACAAACATTTAGGGAGATTTAAAGATTTGTATAAGATTTTAAAGGATTTATATTTTTAGCATTAAAAAATAAGATTTTTAAAAAGCATAAAGTAAAGAAATCATTGACAGCTAACATTTCCTAGATTTGGTAATTGGCAAAACAGAGAAGCCTGAATATTTTGCTTTGAAATTTGACTCTAGATAGAAATATTGATCCATTATCTATAATTAGAACACAAACTTTTAAGAATTGCAGAGGAGAAATACACCCATCTGGTGACACTGTGATCTCAGCAGTAACTGGGTAAGTATTGCCAGTCAAACATCTAGAAGGAATTCAAAGTAGGACTGAAATAAAGCTTGTCATCCAGTGAAACTAGCCTGTTTTGACTTTTAAACAGGACCTTTGCTTTACATATTTCACTTTGAACCTCATGAATTTGAAAATGAAACATTTAAGCATCTACTTTTCCTCCAACCCTCCTAAATCTAACCATGTCCATTACTGACAATTTGGAAGAGAATTCAGAAACAAGTTAGGGTTTGTTTTTGTAGTTTGACTTTTTAATTAATTAATTTTAATTAATTAATGGGGGTATTTATT